GGCTCCCCAGTGGGCAATGCCAGTGCAGTGGGGCTCCCCAGTGGGCACTGCCAGTTCAGTGGGGCTCCCCAGTGAGCACTGTCTGTGCAGTGGGGTTCCTCAGTGAGTATTGCCAGTGCAGTGGGGCTCCCCAGTGAGCACTGCCAGTACAGTGGAGCTCCCCAGTGGGCAATGCCAGTGCAGTGGAGCTCCCCAGTGGGCAATGCCAGTGCAGTGGAGCTCCCCAGTGAGCACTGTCTGTGCAGTGGGGCTCCCCAGTGAGCACTGTCTGTGCAGTAGAGCTCCCCAATGAGCAATGCCAGTGCAGTGGAGCTCCCCAGTGGGCATTGCCAGTGCAGTGGGGCTCCCCAGTGAGCATTGCCAGTGCAGTGGAGCTCCCCAGTGGGCATTGCCAGTGCAGTGGGGCTCCCCAGTGAGCACTGCCAATGCAGTGGAGCTTCCCAATGAGCACCATGAGCACACTTTTTATCCAGGCTCCAGGAATTCATGAAACACACTGGGGACATAGAAGGCTGGGTGGTCATGATCTCCTCACAGCCTTTGTGACTATCAGGGCTCCCCAGATGGCATTAGGTGGCTGGGGACTCCTAGGTCAGCAAGGCAGAACAGTGACTGGTTGGGAAAGTGGACATGATGATAAAGAGCTGTGGACGTTTTGTGGAATATTACTTCAACTAGGCAGAGATGTGTTACATTTGTTTATGCTGCATTTTTTAACTGTGTAAAGATGTGTTTATGCTGTTTGTTTAATGATGTAAAGATGTATTGCTTTGCCTGCCTAAGGCACCTAATTGGTCTAATAAAAAGCTGAATGGCCAATAGCTAGGCAGGAGAGGGCAGGTGGGCAAAGAGAATAAGTAGGAGGAGGAATCTAGGCTCAAGAGGGAAAGAGAGAAGGATGGAGAAAGAAAGGAAGATGCCAGGCCAACTAGGCAACTGCCAGCCAGCTGCCAGCCAGCTGCCAGCCAGACACAGAGTAGGACATACAGAATGAAAGAAAGGTAAAAATCCTGAGGCATAACATAGATGAAGAGAAACAAGTTAAAATAAGTTACAAGAGCTAACAAGAAATGAGCCTAAGCTAAGGCCAAGCATTCATCACCATGTCATGATTTGGGAGCTTGATGGTGGCCCAAAAGAAAGCCTGCTATGTGGACATCATCAAGAGCTCTGAATGCAAGACAATGAGTTGACAGAGTCACGAAAGTAGATTTGCTTCCCGAAATGAAACTGGAGACACAGCCGGAGGCAGAGGGACAGGAATGCTAAGCAGGCCACTTTGAGAGTACCAGTCTCTCAAGGCTCTGACTGTCTTCAGGACTGACTGGAAACATGGTTTTCAAGTGTAAGGCAGTGGTAGAATGTAAGCCAGTCCTTAGAGTGAATGGAAATTGGAAAGAGAATCCACACTGGCCTTGGCTTTCTCCCTCAATTCTGCTAATTTGCATAATGTAGACCCAGCCCTGATGGCAGTTAGCAAATCCAGCTGTGGTCAGTCCACTGAAATTCTCAGTTTTAAAAATGCACAGCAGGATGTTTTAGAGGAAACTAGCATCTATTTCATGTCTAAAAATTAAGTCTTTAGCCCACCTCTCAAAGCAGAAACATCACTGAAGGAAACTGAGTCAGGAAGGATGGGAAAGAGGCAAGTGCTGCTAAGATGGAGACCCGGGGGCTTTAACAGATTTCTGCCATGTTTCATGACAGTCCTCCCCCCCCCACCCCCACCCCACCCCCATGTCCAGAGCAGAGCAGTGTCTGATTCTTTGAGTGGAAGAAATGGTGAGACATTTCCAAAGTTAAACTGTTGATTTTATGCAGACAATGTAATGAACCCTTGTCTTTTGTGCACCAGCACTTGGTGGGGGAGGGGGGGGTCCTGATTCCTTGGGGGATCCTCTGCTGCTGAATCTTACTCCCCACCCATAGACTTAGGTCTTGACCTGGTCCTGCAGAGGGTTGTTGTTTTTGTTTTGTTTTGTTTTTAAATTGTATTTTATGTGCATTGATGTTTTGCCTGCTGGTGAGCCTATGTGAGAATGTCGGATCTTGGAGTTACAGACAGTGGTGAGCTGCCATGTGGGGCCTGGGATTTGAACCCTTATCCTTTGGGAGAGCAGTCAGTCCTCTTAACCGCTGAGCCATGTTTCCAGCCCCCCTACACACACACATACAGAGGGGTTTTACAAAAAGGATGGGACTCAGAGTTTTGAAGAATACTTACTTATTTTGAGTTTATGTGTATGGGTGTTTTGCCTACATGTATGTATGTGTGCCACATTCATGCCTGGTGCCCACAGAAGCCCGAAGAGGACATCAGATCCCCTGGGACTGGTTACAGACAGTTGTTAGTCACTGTGTGGGTGCTAGGAATTGAACCCTAGTCCTCTGTAAGAGCAGCAAGCCATTTCTTCAGCCCTGTCCCCAACCCTAGTTTTTTTTTTTTTTTTTTTTTTTTAAGTAATTAATGCTGCTGAGAAAAGCTTGAAAAATTAAGTGCAGGTTTCTCTGTCTCTGGCTACCAACTTATCCTCTAAAGTCACTGGATGAGAACTGTATTTGCAGCAAAATGGAGGAAGGTTTGTTTTCAGGCTCCTGAAAGGTTGGAAGCATGCACCAGCTCCCATTCGCCATCAAATGCCTCAGGACCGCCTGCCTGAGAACATGACACTCTCTTTCAGAATTAGCAAATTCAGAAATTTAACTCTGATATAACACCGTTACCAAACGCATTGTTCATATTCTAAATTTTCCAGGTGTCTGAGTCCTTTATGGCCACCTCTCTCGCCTTCCCACTCTGGGATCTACCGGGGATGGCACACTACATGCCTGTAGTGTGCAGTGACGTGACACTTCTGTCTTCAACCTTCACCTTTCATGACAACAATGTTGAAGATGCTGGCTTTGAAAATGTCCCTCCATTTGCATTTGTTTTAGGGTTAAATTGAGCTTATCTGTATGGAACATAACCAGAACAGACGTACCTGGGTTATTCTTGCCTCAAAGCCAAAGATACACTAAAGAATGACTAAGCCGGGTGGTGGCGGTGGTGCACGCCTTTAATCCCAGCACTTGGGAGGCAGAGCCAGGAGGATCTCTGTGAGTTCGAGGCCAGCCTGGGCTACCAAGTGAGTTCCAGGAAAGGCGCAAAGCTACACAGAGAAACCCTGTCTCGAAAAACCAAAAAAAAAAAAAAAAAAAAAAAAAAAAAAAGAATGACCATATCCCTCTGAATGACCCTTTCTGCTTCAAAACCAGCTGCATGTGCAAAGGGATGCATTGGAGAAACTAGTTCACCACGAGGCATCGATGGCCGAAGACCGTCCCCCTGCTCAACAAACTAGCCAGGAGCCACCATATTTTAAAAGCAAAATTTATGAAGCTGAAGAAATGACGTAAAAGGTGTTCAAGTCACAAAAGCTTATGCTTTTATTGCAAATGTGTGCTGCCTCTCACAGAGGCACCTTCACCCGCGTGCAGGGAAAGGGTTGGTGTTTCATCTCGTTATCTGAAGAGCTTTCTGTAAAACCCTGCACGATTCACCCACTTTCAGCAATGGACCCAGTGATGGACACATTGAAGGTGTCAGCCGCCCTCACTGTGTGACCTGAGGTTTGCCTACCACCTAACATGGCCTTGTCAGGGGCTAGATCTCAGAACTGCTACATTTTAAACTTGTGTTTATTGTTATTATTATTGTGTGTGTGAGAAGTGTGTGTGTTGTGGGGAGGCACGTGTGCCACAGTGTAAACACAGAAGTCAGAAGACGACGTGTATAGACAGTTCTCTCCACAACCTTCTGTGCGTTTGTGTGTTCACACTTAGGCCACCAGACTTGCGCAGCAAGTTCCTTTACCTGCGAGGCTGTCTCCCACAGGCCCAGAACTGTTGACTTTTAATTGCAGAACTTCTAATGTTGGGAGAAAGAAAGCCCCAGTCAAAACCCAGGTTGGTCTGAGACAGTGGGGTGCTGGGAGCATGTCAAGTACATGGGTGCACAGGAAGAGAAATGGGGTTAAAATCCAAATCATCTTTCTTCACGTTTGCCAAAGGGTGGTCTGTAGTTAGAGTTTTCCTGCCTTGCCCACAGTCAGGACAAATCTTTGTCACCCTCCAGTCCCACAGCCGCTCAGACCCAACCAAGTAAACACAGAGACTTATATTGCTTACAAACTGTATGGCCATGGCAGGCTTCTTGCTAACTGTTCTTATAGCTTAAATTAATCCATTTCCACAAATCTATACCCTGCCACGTGGCTCATGGCTTACCGGCATCTTCACATGCTGCTTGTCATGGTGGCAGCTGGCAGTGACTCCTTCTGCCTTCCTGTTCTTTTATTTCTCCTCTGTTAGTCCCGCCTATACTTCCTGCCTAGCCACGGGCCAATCAGTGTTTTATTTATTGACCAATCAGAGCAACTTGACATACAGACCATCCCCCAGCACAGCCAAGTGCAGACCATCTCAGACACCTGCACTCAGGCCTGTTGTCCTAATCATCCTCTATGTGGACCTGCTGGGTAAAGCCACGAGGAACCCAAGAACGGGCTCCCACAGGACATACAGAACATCCCACAGCAGTAGTCTTTTTCTGATTTGTTTTTCTTTCCTTCCCACAAACAGAGAACGTGTAAAGTTTATTTAAAAATATAGTTTCTTGAGGAGGATTCAGATAGGTTTTTACTTGAGCCTATACGTGGGAAGGAAATGTCTGCTCTTACACCGGTTGCGACGATGGCTCCATTTTCCCTTTCGTCATTTGACGCAGGGAGGAAGCATGCTGGCATGACAACCCTGTCTTCTGGTCCTGAGTATCCATTTCCAGAGTTCGCATGCATTTGTGTTAGTATGTTTTTTTTTTTTTTTTCCTTTGTAGCAGCAGTGACAGCATCATTTGCACATAGTTCTTGAGAACACGTGGAAGCCACTGGCTACACGCAGAGAACCCAGGTTCCCATGACACAGGCAAGCTGAGTAATGCAAGCAGGAGGTGGGCTTTATAGCCATCAAAACAGCATCAAACAGACAAGGGTATGACTGTCGTTCACCTGAGAGCACAAGGTCCCCACAGTTGAGTGGGAGTTTACTAACTCCCAGGTAATTTTAAAACTAAGCTTTTGGTTAGAACCATGCTAAAAGTTTGAAAGGAAGTATTTCATATACCTATGTCTATGTGATGATTACAGGAGAAACAGTGACGTATTTAGCAAACTAATATGCCTACGTAGTTAATAAAGAAAGTTAGGCCGGGCAGTGATGGCGCATGCCTTTAATCCCAGCACTTGGGAGGCAGAGGCAGAAGGATCTCTGTGAGTTCCAGGCCAGCCTGGTCTACAGAGTGAGTTCCAGGCTCCAAAGCTACACAGAGAAACCCTGTCTCGAAGAAACAACAACAACAACAACAACAACAACAACAACAAAAAAAAAAAAAAAAGAAAGAAAGAAAAGAAAAAAAGAAAAAGAAAAGGAAGAAAGAAAGAAAAAAGAAAGGATGTTACAGTTCAAATAATTTGAGTTTGGTAGTTCAGTGTACAATTCAAGTTTTACTTAGGGCCATATTCTCTAGAAGGCTTTTTGCTTTAAGCTTTATAATTCCTTTTAAAGTTCACCTTGCAGATCCACCTGCTCTCTACGTTTCCCAGTGAGTTTGAAAAGACTGTCTTTAATTTCTGTGTCTGGCTCATAATGGTCTCTTTAAAATGTCCGCCACTCTAATTTGGAAGAGGGGGTTAATTAATACTGCTGGTGTGGAAGTATGGATAGAAATTATTGGAACAGCCCATCTTTAGATTTTATTTGCATTAATATCTTGTGGGGGTAAGAAAGAATCAGTTACTGCCAGGTTTTGTAAACAAAAATGTGTAGTCCGATCTCTTCATTGTTGACCAAACAACAACAACAAAACCCACAACAATCTAGTGAATGGCACTGAGGGTGCTTAGTTTTCTGACAAGGTGATTGTAGACTGGAGAGAGAAACGATTTCATTGTCTTTTCTAGTGGTCTTTTTCGTTGAGTGTGTTTGGGCTGCTCACTTCTCTACGCTTTCCTCAGATGAGCTTCTACTCTGGAGCAGTCCTCCGAGGAAGTACCTCCCAGCATTCGGTCCACCTCGTGGAGGGAAGAAAGGACGGAACGGGAAGCGGTGGTTGTAGTTTGGAAGGAGGAAAGGTCCGTTAGGAAGCCTCGGGTAGAAGCCCGGCCTTCTTGGCGGAAAATAAAGCCACACCCACCCGGGTGTCCTCGGGTTGGCTTGGACCCTGGTTACCGTAGGCTTCCTTGTGGAGGGCGGCGGAGGGGTGAGTGGGAAGATCTGGCAGTCTGTAGGGTTCACGTTATTTGGAGGAGTGACGACATCTTGTCCTGTGGAAATGAAAACGTAGGTCAGGGTGGGCCCGGCAACAGAAGCGGAGAAAGATGCCTCCGGGTGAGGGTGGGGGAGGGATGCGAAGAGGAACTCGGAGGCATTTTAAAGCATGACTAAAATGAACTGCAGTGGTCGGAGGAAAGGAAGCATGGACACACCTAATGGTCCCCATTCCCATCTGGGGAACTGACCCCAAAGAAATACATGCGTATTTATCCAAAGATACTAGTTCGATCTAAACGATCCAAACGCCCATCAACAGGGGACTAGCTAAAGAAACCATGTGCAGTCACACAATGAAACAAGTCTCTGGGAATGAAAAGGAATAACAGCCAATATATAGAAACCCAGATAAATCCATGTTCTGTTGAACAAAGAAAATTAGACACAAAAGGGTGCACGTTCTAAGAGTCCATTTATATGAAGTTCAAGAGTAAGCAAACGGAAGATACTTTAAAAAAAATAAAGCAGACCAGTATTGAGCAGAAGGTCAGCACAAATGTCATTTCATGGAGGGATTAACCAAGAAACTCCTCAGCAATGTTCTGCACCTTGACCTTGATGGTTATTAAGTAGATTTGGATATATGTAACATACACACACATACATAAGTATACTGGTGTAAAATGTGGTGAAGCTGTACTTACTTTTAAGATTTGAGGGCATTTTCTTTCTTTCTTTTTTTTTTTTTGTATATGACTTATAACAAAATAAGGAAAACTCATTGAAATAAAAAAAGAATTTATTTACTACTAAGAAAATAAGCCAGGCGGTGGTAGCACATGCCTTTAATCCTAACACTCGGGAAACAGAGGCAGGTAGATCTCTGTGAATTCAAGGGCAGCCTGATCTACAAAGCGAGTTCCGGGACAACCAGGCCTGTTACACAGAGAAACCCTATCTTGAAAATCCAAGAAAGGGCAGACAACTCATTTTTGAGAAGAAATGTGGATGTAGCCAAGTGTCAGGTCTTCCCAGGCTTGAGTCAGTCACCCAACTGAGTTGGTCTTTGCTGTGAGGAGTTCTTTGGCTCAGAATGCATCAATATAGACAGGAGAAGACTGGGGCAGACGTGAACGGTGGAAACATGAGCATCCCACAGGAAGCTGAGAGTTCTGATGAATTTAAGGACAACTAGGTCCCCTCCCTCTTTCGGACAGATGATTTGAGCTTCTGGGGTGCGCTGGATGTGCTTATCTAGCTACTAGAGTCCTTAGTTCCTTTTCCATTCACAGGCTTTAGACATGTCAATCTTGAATGCCTGGGTATGGCTGACGGGGCTGTTGGTAGATACTCAACACACTCAGGAATTAGAACTACTGGGATTACAGATGGCCGTGAGCCGCCTTGTGGGTGCTGGGAACTGAACCTGGGTCCTCTGGAAGAGCAGTCAATGCCATCTCTCCAGCCCCATCATCTTATTTCTTGATACCTGGAGCTATTCTCTCAATTCCGTGGTGATTGGGTGCTAGAGCATGGCAGGCAGATTTTCTCCCAGGCTGTCCTGTAGTTTAGTACTCTCTTCTGGAACTCCTCAAGGGCCCAAGATCAAGGTGCAGCTTGCCTCTATCACCCACACGAGGCAGCCGACAAAACCATATAAACATACTTCGATATTTTCCTAGTAAACTCATCACATGGCGATTACATTGGGTCACTGCATGGAGACACAAGTGTTCTAAAATGTAAGAACCACGACTAGAGCAATAGCTCAGTGGTTAAGAGCACTGGCCACTCTGTCAGAGGACTCGGGTTTGATTCCTAGCACACACATGGTGGCGTATAACCATCGATAACTCTAGTTCAGGAATCTAACTCCCTCTTCTAGTCCTCTTGTGTACCAGGCATGCAGGTAGTATGCAGACACACATGCAGGCAGAACACCCATACACATAAAATAAAAATAAAACCCTCACTAGAAATCAAATGTAAGAGCCCTGGGAGTTGGTTTGGGAACCTGCCTCATGTTACAAAGTCAAAACCGCCCACGGGAACTGAGGCCATCTGTGCTTTCTCCCCTGACTCTGCTGACCCTGCCCATCTGTCCTTCCTATGACCTCGTTCAACCCACTTCCTGTCATTCTCTTTGTTTTCTCCTCAAAGTGCCTCTGAAACTCCAGTCATTATTTGAAGAACTCTACCTCCCCAAGATTACTTAATGTCACCTTTCAAAGAGAAAACTGGGCGATCTGCCATGAACTTTTTAGGTTCTTCTTTTGTTAAAGAGGGCTGTGAATGATGTACACATTCGACCATTCACGCAGTGACTGTCTTCTCCACCCTACAAATGCTACTTTAGCAGAGCCCTAATCTTCCTGGTTAACAGCTTAACATCTGGTTCCAGATGTTCCACTTTCGACCTCTTTCCCCTAGATCTCTCATCTAGTCCCCAAGTGAGATCTCCTTAGGGAGGTCTTCTCTGCCTGAAGGCTGGGTGATGGCCCCTGGTAAGAGCTTCCATAGCAGCCTTGGCCCACCAGCATTGATCACACTTGTCAGCGATGCCGCTACCATTCCTGAGACATCCACTGGCCCCACCTCAGTGCCTGTGGAAGAACTAAACCAACTGAGAGAAACCTCCATTTCTATAATTGCAAAAGTTCCCGTATTCTTACCTACTGGGGACAGTGTGATGATTAACACATATTTCCCACACATCACACACCGCCATACCGGTAAAAGCACTGGGTATCAAAGATAAGCATCCCAAAAAACTTAATAAGACCAAAGTAGGTCACATCTTTGAATGCTGATTGAAAACAGCTGGAGAGGCAGGGCAGCGTGATGTTCCAGAGGCAGGATCCCCAAGTTCTGCTTCTAATATTGTGAGTATGGGCAGATCTCCTTACCCCGGAGGCTTTCTCCTTATTTGTAAGATGGAAAGAATAATATGGCCTATCCAACGGGCTTGTGAGACTATCCAAAATAAGACACTCATGGTCCCGAAAGTTTTCTGTTGCACAGTACACATTTAGTAAGTTAGTGATCATCATTGTTAGTTGTTACGGTTGGGGATGCTATAGAGGATTTTTAGTAGCACAGGCTCCAGTTCTTAGGTCTATGTGCTTAGATTTTATACATGATCTGTGCATCAAGATCATGTATAAACTATACTAAACTAAAGTCCATAGTTGTGTAAGTGTAGGACCTTGAAGACAAGGGATTATTGACTCTGTTGGCCATTGCTGATGTCCTTAGTACTGGGGACACTTCTGGATGACAGTGTTATTAGTGAATACTTGATACACTCACTAAATGGCTAGGCAGACATTGGCTGTTCTTCTCGGTGTTTTTTGTGGTACTCAGCGAGCATTTAATTCCTGTTTTAGATAATAATTTATATTTAAAATTGTAGTACTGTACAATAAAAGCCAAAATGTTGTTTGGAGTTTGGGTATCAATTTTAAATAGGCTTATTATAGTCTAGACATGAAATTTATAACATACCCAAAACCTAGCACTTTTGGAAAAAAAAGGTAACGATGAGAAGATCTTTTTATAATTACCTGTACTCTGTGGTTAACTGGGCAGACAATAGCTGTTTTGTAGTGAACTGTAGTGATTTTTAGAGACGCAAGCTTGGGACTTGATGTCTACGTACGCCATTGTTCCCTTACAGAGCACCTGGAGTCTTAGAATTCCCACGCCCTTTCAGACTTTAACCACAAAGAAATGTCAGTGCCGTGGTTAACTGACTCATAGTAATTGTAACTTAATTCATTTTTGTAGACTCAGAGAACAGTTGTGTCTTTTTTGTCAAATCCCTCCTTTGAAAGATACAGAATTTAGAGCCTGGAAAATGTCCTGCTGGCCCCTTTCAGTATGCCGTAAGTGAAGTCGGTTCAGCAGTGAGCATGTCGCATGTCAGGTGCTGAAATAAATGCAGAGAAGACAGACACAGCGCCTGCCTCTGGGGACTGGGGAGACACTACAAATATACAGGTCCTCAGTACAGAGCGGAGTGGAGCATCACGGTAGGGGATGTCCTGATTGTAACGACAATCCAAAGATGTCAGAGAAAAAAAAACGCTATTTTAACGTAATATGTCTTAAGAAAGACTTGCGAGCGCAATAGTATAGTCACATTTAAATGCTGCTACTTGAAGCAGAATTGCAGAAAGCAGGTGTAAAGCAGGAAAGGAGCAGCCCCTGCCATGGATGGGCGAGGGCAGAGGGAATGTGGGACACATATGACCCTGTTGGGCAGTCTGTCCCAGGACAAGGAGAAGTGAGTGAGGACCTAGAACCTAGGCTGCCAAGCTCAGAGATCAGTTCTCACATCTCAAATGATATGTTTATTTGTTTGGGGACGTGGTTTTACTGCGCAGCCCTGGCTGTCCATCATGGAACTGCCATGTATAGTAGGCTGGCCTTGAACTCACAGATAGTGCTGTCATTCCAGGTTGGCATTGCTAGCTTGGTAACCATAGTAACAACAATAGCATTTGCGTAGTGCTTTTAATGTGAGTTTTCTGGTTTTTGTTTTGCATATAGCTCAATGGTCCTCTTCAGCCCCATAATAATGCATATTAATATGGTCACTTTACATATGAGAAATTCATGTGTAATGCTCAAGGAAGTTACAAGTGTCTCAAATCACAGAGCAAATGCTGAGACTCAGATTCAGGTCTTCAGATGAGAAAATCCAGCCTTTCATTTAACCACACGAGCTGATGATAGCAGATATAAACATTTCCAATTTATGGAGCTATGTAATCATGGAGGTTGCATTTGTCTTTCCATATGGTATTAATTATTTCACCCACACATAGTAGTAGATAAAAACCCAAACTCTTACCTTCTGCCATAGTTACCACCAACCAGCAGACCAGGACCCAGAAGTGGAATCCAGGAGCCATGGCTTCTGCCCTGAGCACTCACACTGCTCTGGACCCAAGGCCGCTTTAAAGGAGAGTGAGTGAGTCACCAGCAGCCTGATTCAGGCAATTAGTGTGTGCATAGTGGACCACAACCACCTGGACCTATGGTGTGAGAGTGAGAAATTCTCCAGGAAATGCCAGACAGCACTCATCAACCTGAAGCGTCTTGTAATGCCAGGCACACATTGTTCACTCGTCTTCATTTCGGACTGTCTCCTTCACTGTCCTTCCAGTTCCAAACACTTCTTCACCCCACTGCCTTCTCCTGACCTGTATCTGGGGTTCTTCAACTGCACAGGAAGGAAGGTGTCTTGGTTATTATTCTACTGCTGTGACAAGGCACTATGACCAAAGCAATCTATAGAGCAGTCATTCTCAACCTTCCTAATGCTGTGACCCTTTAATACAATACCTCATGGTGCAGGGACCCCCAACCTCAAAATAATTTTCATTGCTACTTCATAACTGTAATTTTGCTACTGTTATGAATAGTAATGTAAATATCTGATATGCAGGATATCTGATATGTGACCCTTATGAAAGTGTCTTTCGACCCATAAGAGCTGTGACCCACAGGTTGAGAACCACAGGCAGACATGGTGCTGGGGCAGTAGCTGAGAGCTTATATCTGATCCACAGGCCTGAGACAGAGAGATAGAGCTAAGTGAAATGGTGTGGGCTTTTGAAACCTCAAAGCCCACCCCTAGTGACACAGTGCCTCCAACCAGACCACACCTCCTAACCCTTCCCAAACAGTTCCACCAACTTCAGACCCAGCATTCAGATATCTGAGACTACTAGGGCCATTCTCATTCAAACTTCCACAGAAAGGAATCATCTGGAGACACTTAATACAGCTCCTCACCACATAGCTTGACTTCCTGGAGCAAAACATGAGGGAAGAGGAGATGAAGAGGTTTCCTGACCCAGGTGTTTGAAGAGGCTGCAGTTAGATTCTGACCTAAGTGTATGATTCTTCTCTACTCTGCATCTGCCTGTGAGGAAAGGGACAAGGTTAGAAAGGTATGTTTCCTTGTGGCCACTATGGTCACTGTTTAAAAAAAACTGAAAAACTGGGACTATAACTTAGTGAGTCTTCTTTGTAAACTTTCTTCTAACTCACCAACTTGCTTGGAAGTGTTATGCCCAGATGGTGGGCATACCATGGATACTGAATCCCATATGTAAAAGCAAAGAACCTTTATTTCATGCTCAGAGCTTGGTCTCTCTGTCTGTGGTGAGAGCAGAGAGCCCGGAGCCCAGACAGGGTTAGGGTTCTTATCATAGCAGAGGTTAGGGTGAGGAGATTTCTAGGGTTCAGGACCCTAATTGGCTGATATTTGTCTAGGGGTGTCTGTAAAAGGGAAGTAGGTGTGTGTTAGGCTCAGAGACATCTGGCGATCTTATCTAATCCTACATGGATGGTTGGAATTTTTGAGATGTCAGGTTCTTCCCCCGTAGATGCTGACCCATCCCTGGGTGGTATCAGGTTATGGCTTTTCCTAGATCTGGGTGTTGCCTACCAGTAAGCCTGTCATGGCAGCTGTGTGGTCAGGCTGTTTTGGGCCCCCCACAGAAGATGGCCATGTGTCTTGATCATTGTTCTATTGCTGTGAAAAGGCACCATGATTAAGACAACTCTTATAAAAGAAAGCATTTAATTGGGGGCTCGCTTACAGTTGTAGAGGTTAAGTCCATTGTCATCATGGCAGAAGCATGGCAGCAAGCATGGAAACACTGGAGGAGTAGCTGAGAACTACAAACTTTTCTCTAGACAGAGATCCCTGGGCTTTTGAAACCTCAAAGCCTACTCCCAGTGACACATTTCCTCCAACAAGGCCACACCTCCTAATCCTTTTAATCCTTTCAAATACCTCCAGTCCCTGGTGACTAAGCATTTAAATATATGCACATATGGAGGCCATTGGTATCCAAGCCACCACAACATGACACATCTGTGCCTGGCTGGTCTCCTGAGAGGATTCTTTGAGTTGCAGAGAGTGACAGGAGGTAGTAACAGGTGATTAAGAGCCCGGCTGTTGTTAGAAAAGAAACCTCTAATATCATTTCCTTTTCTCACTTGCCATTTGGTTATCTGTTCTAGCCACCATGGTGGCTCTAGCCTATTGTTACAGGTATTTGAGAGGCTGAGGTGGGAGGAAGGCTTGAGCCCGTGAATTCTAGACTAGCCTAGGCAACACAGTAAATGAGACCTGGTCTCAAAAAACAAACAAAACATAGGTATTCTTACAATCAGTCCAGAGGCATGATCTTTGAAGTGGTGTGTGTGTGTGTGTGTGTGTGTGTGTGTGTGTGTGTGTGTGTACTAGTTGGTGTTTTGTCACGGTCCTTTTGGAGCCCACTAGGGTCTCCTAGAGGCTGTACCCAGCAGGGATGCATAAGGGGCTGATTGGACCACAGGCCTGGGTACCAGGTGACTGTAACTAGCAAGGAGGAGGTCATTGCTCCACCCCTTGGCATTGTTATAAATAGACCTTTGGAATAACGTTCTGGGCGGGTGGATAAGGATCCTGTTTTTTCTCTCTGTTTCTCTCTCCTCTCTATTTCTAACTAAGTCTCTTATCCCTCATTCCTCAAGAGTTCCTGGGGTAAATAAGTATGGGGGCTGGTCCTCTACATGTGATGAAATACTTGATCAATTTATAAGGAAGAAAGATTTATTTGACTCATAATTTCAGAGGTTCTAGTCCTTGCTTAGCTATTTCTGTTGCTTTTGGACCTGTGGAGAGAACATTATTGCAGGGTCCCAAGCTGCTTATCTCATGGTGACTACAATCGAACGCCATTACCAGCAGGATGTAACCCAAAGGGTACTCAGAGGAATGAAATCTGGCAGATGGACGTGTTTCACTTTGCAGAATTTGGAAAATTGAAATATGTACACCATACCATTGATACTTATTCAGGATTTCAATGGGCAGCTGCTTTGAGTTCTGAAAAAGCTGATTCTGTAATCACTCATTTTCTAGAAGTTATGGCCATCATGGGTATACCTGCACAAATCAAAACTGACAATACTCCATCATATGTCTCTGTTAAAATGAAACAGTTTTTTGCTTATTACAATATAAAGCATATTACAGGTATACCACATAATCCTACAGGTCAAGCA